CCTGCATCGGCAGGCGGACTCTCAACCACTGCGCCACCAGGGAAGCCCTCAACGAGAATTTCTTGAGGCAAGAGGGTGCATCCGTGCCGCCGCCAGCTCCTCTCGGTTCCCTCCCAGCCCACGGGGGTCCTGCTCCCACCACTGCGGAGGCCACTGCTCCTGAAGAGTCGCTGACGACCCTCCCGCTCTGGGACAGTCGCCGCTCGCCCACCCGTGCATCTTGGGGTTGTCACGTGCGATTTCTGGGACACGACGCTGTTCCTGTTTCTCCTTCCGTTTTCTGACAGTCTTCTCCAGGTGCTGCCCTAGCTCCGCTTTCCATCCAGGAAATATGGGCATTAACTAAGGTTCTGAGTCCGGTGCTTGTCTCTTCTCCCAGGTCCCTTCTTCCAGGAGGCCTTGCACATTCTGCACTCCTGCTGTCACACCCGCACCAGTGTCTCCTAAACGTGTATATAGGGGCGTGATGTTTTCCTTAGTTTCAGACCCAGGTTTACAATTGCTTGCTAGACAGCAATTCTACTTCAACACATCCAAAATCAAATGCCTTATCTGTTCCCCAAACTCCATTTCTTCTGTCTTGCACGTCTCAGATAAACACACCACCATCTTCCCGCCATGCAGACGTGAAGCTCCGGCCGACTTCGCTTCCTCCGCCCACCTTCCCCCCCCCCCCCCCCCCCCCAGCTTCAATTATTCACCAAATTCTGATCTTGGGGAGCATCCTCACATCTGCGCCCTCTTCCCTTTTCCTTCTGTTACTCCTGTAGGTGGGGACTTGGAGGCACAGTGATGTAGGTGCAAGTACAGAGGCCTAGGAGGCCAGCAGAACAGATTCGAATTCTGATCCCACTGCGTGCAACCTAGAAACCAAGCCCCGGTCAGCCACCCCTAGTACAGTGTGTGGCACAATGAGATGTCAAAATACGTTCATTCTCTTCTTTTTTTCTCTTTACTCAGGTTGTTTTGAAATTCACTTTTAACCATTTCCCTATTTTTTTTTTTCTCCTTGCAATCCGTCCTTCATACCAGCACTGATTTTCATCTGAAAATCCCGTTTAATACTGTGTCATTTTCTGGTTTCCCTATTGGCTGAGTAACGTTCATACCTCATGGTACGATAGCCCAGGCCTTCTGTAACTGCATCTATTTATTTCTGTTAGACTGTGAGCACCTCTGTAGGACTGTAAACATCCACAGAACTGAGATGGAACTTTTAATCCAGATTTCTCCAGCTCAATGACTGGAACACGGTAGAGAATTACTATACAGGTAGCCCTGTAGAGTAATTACATCTGCTGCTACATTCCCACCCAGCTTCACCTAGTGTTCATTCATTTCCTTTAATGAATTACTCCCTTGGATGTACCCACTATGCCATAAGCTCCCGGGGTCACTGCATTTTTTTCTTATTTATTTATTTTTAAATTTTTCAGTTTTTAAAACCATTAAAAAATTTTTTATACAATTTTTAAAGGTTACTTTCTATTTACAGTTATTACAAAATATTGGCTGTATTCCCCGTATTGTACAATACATCCTTGAGCCCATCTTACACCCAGTAGTTTGTGCCTTCCCCTCCCCCATCCCTATATTGCCCCTCCCCCATCTCCCCACTGGTAACCACTACTTTGTTCTCCTTATCTGTGAGTCTGCTTCTTTTTTGTTATATTCACTAGTTAGTTGACTTTTTTAGATTCAACATGTAAGTGATATCATACAGTATTTGTCTTTCTCTGTCTGACATCCCTTAGCATAATGCCTTCCAAGTCCATCATGTTGCTGCAAATGGCAACATTTCATTCTTTTTATAGGATTTATATATATATATATATATATATACACATACACACACACATATACCACGTCTTCTTTATCCATTCATCTGTTGATGGATATTTAGGTTGCTTCCTTATCTTGGCAATTGTAAATTGTGCTGCTATGAACATTGGGGTGCATGTATCTTTTCGAATTAGTGTTTTTTTTCGGATATATACCAAGAGTGGAATTGCTGAGTCATATGGTAGTTCTATTTTTAGTTTTTTGAGGAACCTCCATACTGTTTTCCACAGTAGCTGCACCAGTTTACTTTCCCACTGACAGTGCACAAGAGTTCCCTATTCTCCACATCCTCTAGGGGCCATTGCATTTTAGTCATTTCTGTATTCTTACTTGAAAGCCCACTTTGTAAATGTTTATTGATAATTTTAAAATATTGATAACTGTTGAAATTGTTGATGAGGCTTTAAGGTCCATTATATTACTCTCTCTACATTTATGTACGATTGAGAAGCTCCATAATAAACATTTTAAAAAGTTAACGAATAAAGAAAGAAATGAAAGCATGAATGGATGTACATTTTCCCACTTCTGTGCATTTGTTCATTCTATTCACTCCATCTGTTATGTCCTCTTTGTCTCCACAAGTCCAAATACTACAACTTTCAAGATCCACCTGTCTTCTATGAAGTAATCTCCAATTCTCCTAGTTTTAGGTTGATCTTTCTCTACTCTACTCTACTCCTAAAGCATCTTGTTTGCTATTTGTGGCTGAGAAGCAAGGTCTCCTACAATATCTGTTCTCTCCTTCTTTAATAGAAAGACCCTCAATTTTTAGCTGGGCTCATGGTCACTCAGAAAAGATTCCATTTTCTAGGCTTGTTTATGGCTTGGAGTAATCAGGTGATTACAACTCCTCTCACTAAGGAGTTGTAATCATGATTGTCCTGTTGTTCTGGGAAACTTCCTCAAAAGACAACTGACCTATATTCCTTGTCTCTTCTTTTTGCCCTGACCTCTCTCATGCTGTCTGGAATGGGGACCTGATGGCAGGAGCTCTAGCAGCTATCTTGGATCATGAAGACTATGGTCACACCCTAGAAACGACAGAGCAATGAGCTGGAAGGAGCTGGGTTCCTGGGAATTTCATGAAGTAGCTCCTGGACTGGACTCCTTCCTGTGGAATCTTATGCAAGAGGGAAATAGGACTCTATTTTGTTTAAGTCACTGTTATTTTTGGTTTTTATTTTTAAGAGCCAGAGTTATTGCTAACAAACACCACTTTTTCAATAACATTTCTTCTTTGAATTCTATTTAGCTGTGGATATATTGCAGGACAGGACTTTTCTCCTCCTTTGTCACCCCCCCTTACTACCTTGGTCACAGATTACAGAGATGGTGTCAATATTAGCAAGAGCAAGGTCTGTTTGCCAGTGGGGGCCTATGGCTGTCCTGGCACCATGGAACCTGGGACAATGTCCAGTGTTTCAGGGATCCTGCAGAAGGGGGCAAAGGGGTAGGAAAGACCTCAGAGATGTAAAGGAAGAAGAAAAGGGCGGGAGACTAGAAGTTGAAGGGACTCGTAGTGAACACCTGAATGGAATGGGCTCTGTGTGAACTGCAGGATGACTGAACGGGAAAATGAAGATACCTTTCTGTAGTCTCTAGACCAGGGTGTGTTTGCGTCGGGTTACTGGTAAGATTGTCTTCTCTCGGTGATGGTCACCCGCACAACCCTCTGGACACTGCCAGCAAACTTGCAGGTGACGTTCTTCTCTCTCTCCACCTGAGCTCCTCCTGGGCAGGGTTGATGTTCCACTCTTCACATGTAGCCCAGTTCACAGTTCACAGAGATGCTAAATACGTGTTTGACGTTGATGAGTCTGATGATGATTAGCTTTAGTTTTGAAATATCACTACCTGTGGGATATTTTTCCCGTGTTAGAATCTGAAAAGAAAAAGATTCCTTGTCCTTTCTAGCTCCCCTCCCCTCCAGGCACTTAAGGTACTTCTTGGAATTTGCCTAAATAAATATACACCCCAAATATGTGTGTTTGTGCAGAAGGTGCCATTTGTAGCCACGGGTGGCTTTAGCCAAGTATTCATCAGCTTACTTGCTTGATCTTTGTCTATTCCATTCGGAATTTTACTCCCCTCTTTTGGTTAAAAGCAAAACAACCAGAAAACGAGGGACTGTATCTTCCTAATGATTGAATGTTTAATAAATATTATTGAATGAATAAATAAATGAATGAATATCCTAGAGTAATGGAAATAAAAACAAAAATAAACAAATGGGACCTAATGAAACTTCAAAGCTTTTGCACAGCAAAGGAAACCATAAACAAGACCAAAAGACAACCCTCAGAATGGGAGAAAATATTTGCAAATGAAGCAACTGACAAAGGATTAATCTCCAAACTTTACAAGCAGCTCATGCAGCTCAATAACAAAAAAACAAACAACCCAATCCAAAAATGGGCAGAAGACCTAAATAGACATTTCTCCAAAGAAGATATACAGACTTCCAACAAACACATGAAAGAATGCTCAACATCATTAATCATTAGAGAAATGCAAATCAAAACTACAATGAGATATCATCTCACACCAGTCAGAATGGCCATCATCAAAAAATCTAGAAACAATAAATGCTGGAGAGGGTGTGGAGAAAAGGGAACACTCTTGCATTGCTGGTGGGAATGTGAATTGGTTCAGTCACTATGGAGAACAGTAGGGAGGTTCCTTAAAAAACTACAAATAGAACTACCATATGACCCAGCAATCCCACTACTGGGCATATACCTTGAGAAAACCAAAATTCAAAAAGAGTCATGTACCAAAATGTTCATTGCAGCTCTATTTACAATAGCCCGGAGATGGAAACAACCTAAGTGCCCATCATCGGATGAATGGATAAAGAAGATGTGGCACATATATACAACGGAATATTACTCAGCCATAAAAAGAAATGAAATTGAGCTATTTGTAATGAGGTGGATAGACCTAGAGTCTGTCATACAGAGTGAAGTAAGTCAGAAAGGAAAAGACAAATACCGTATGCTAACACATATGTATGGAATTTAAGAAGAAAAAAAAATGTCATGAAGAACCTAGGGGTAAGACAGGAATAAAGACACAGACCTACTGGAGAACGGACTTGAGGATATGGGGAGGGGGAAGGGTGAGCTGTGACAGGGCGAGAGAGAGTCATGGACATACACACACTAACAAACGTAAGGTAGATAGCTAGTGGGAAGCAGCCGCATGGCACAGGGATATCAGCTCGGTGCTTTGTGACCACCTGGAGGGGTGGGATAGGGAGGGTGGGAGGGAGGGAGACACAAGAGGGAAGAGATATGGGAACATATGTATATGTATAACTGATTCACTTTGTTATGGGGCAGAAACTAACACACCATTGTAAAGCAATTATACCCCAATAAAGATGTTTAAAAAAAATGCAAAAATAAATAAATAAATAAAAAATAAATGAATGAATAAATGATAATAAATCAACACATTTCTATAAATCCTTTCTATATAACCAAGTGATCATAACCTGCTCTGTGTTATTTCTCAGTTACCAAAGGACAAACTGAATGTTTATCATAATGGTGTATTTATCAATCAGTATTGACCGTATGTCAATTTCAGTGTTAATTAGCGTGAGGAACACCCAAGATTCACCTTACAAACTGAGTAGAAAACACACAACAAAAGAGAATGATTTCTTCTAACATGGAAACATAGTACCATTATAAATGAAATAGGAGCTCAAGGAAGAAATAGCCACATGGCCTGGAGGGAAAAGTTAAGGATTACTTCATGGAACAGATCAACAGCAAAGAACAATTCAGATTGGCTAGGGAACATGGAGGAAACAGTGCTTTCAGGGGTCGGAAAATCAGGAGCCAAGCTCATGGATCTAGGTAATGAGCCGAGGTCATGAGGTTCTTGAGCAGAGGATTAACTGAAAGCACATTCTAGACTACTGGTCTGGTTGTGTTCCCCGAGACTAAAAAGATGCCTTTCTTTCTTGTCGTAACTTGGGG